GATAAAGAAAAGAATAAGGTGGAAAAGTATGATTTACATGATAAATTCTTGTGTAAACGAGGAGTTCATGAGAACAAGAATTATGTCATTTGACATAGTATAGCTTGAGTTATAAATTTTTGAAGTTAAGCATGCAAGTTGAATTTTATGTTCTTTATTTCAGTTGTGACTTTAAAATTGTAATAGCTCGATATATACACATGATAAAATTTTGAAATTTTTACGACATGCTTATATATGGGTTAAGAACATGACTGCCAAATTTCATGATTTTATGTTGAGAAATGAACGAGTTAAAATATTTATATGGCATACATGTCAAGATGATTTTATATGCAAGAGTATTCAGTATATGGTTGAGTTATTAAAATGGAATTTTTAGAAAAAAATTCTTATATGAGTGATGAGCAATTTGACCAAGTTTCAGCTCAATATGTTGAGTATGTGATTTTATAAAAATTGTTTTAAATCTCACATATTAAGAACATGATGAGAAAGTTGAGTATGATATGATTATTTTCACTTTCAAGATAATTAAGTGAAAATTAAGTCAATATCTAAATTTTGAGAAGTATGATGTATGATGAATTAAGTACTTGATTGAGTGAAAGATCAAGTTAAGATGAGTTTATAAACCATGATGATGATGATGATGGTAAAAGTAAGTTAAGTACTTAATCAAGTATAATGTGAAATATGGTTATTTTTCACATCTGAGTTATGGCATGTTATGAAACATATTGATGTTTAAGAAGATATGATTTATAAGGTTAAGTAATTAACCTTGAGTAAAAGTAAAAAGTGACGTTAAGTATAAACTTGAGAATAAGCAAGTTTAAGAATAGGATAAGTTAATAATCCTAAGAACTTATTGAGTATACGAGCATAATACTTAGTATATTTGTCTATATTTGATTTAACTTGCAGATACAGTACCAGTACAGAACTTATTGAGTTACAAACGATTTCAAAGATGAAAAGGTGGGGACCCTGAATGGGTAGCACATTGAGTACGATATGTGATATGGGATTAGGAGACCATCAGTTGTCTCAAAAGTTATATCCCGAAGTTTAAGGTTTATTACGCTTGGGATGAGGAGGCATTAATTTGTCTCAAAGATTATATCCTAAGTTCTGATGGAGGCGAGACGGGCCTGAGAAATATCCATCAGAGTGTGCACACGTATCCGATTAACCATCAGCCAGAGAAATGAAAGTTTAAGTTTAAGTTACCGATCAGATATCGGTTTATGATTATCCATATTCGTTACTCACCCCCATGAGTTTTAGTTTCAGGTAACAGGTTAACGAGGAGGTGTGAGAAGAGCCGTGTGGTGTGGATCGTGGAAGAAAATGAAGACAAGCTTTAATGTGGACATTTATAAAGTTTGTATAATTAACAACGTTCAAATATTTCTGCTACGCACATTAATTATTAAACTTGCATTTTAATGAATTTTAGATTTCAAGTTTTTATGAGAAATATGATGATAATATGTTAAATGCAAGTTTAAAGGAAATCTGTTTTAATAAGTCTAAAGAAGTATTAGACAACAGTTTAAAGATAAACGGATTTTCAAGAAGAAGAGTTTAGTAGCATCCCGAGTAAGTTGCAATTATTTCGAAAAAGTTAAAGTGATATCGAAGTAAAAGGTTGCGAAAAAGTTACTCTGATAAGCGGGGTGTTACATACCATATGTGAGCACGGTATAAAAACTCGTGACATAAAGGAAGAAAGCACCTCAGACAATTATATTTTATGATTTTTCTTAGAATTGTTCTCGGGAGTTCGAATTAATCTCTGTGATTTATTGAGAGGTGTATCAAGAGGGTATTCTTGATTACATAGAGAGATTTTTTTATTATTAAACTAAGTGCTGTGGAAGATCACTTAGATTAGTTTGAGGGATTCAAACTAGAAAATCCACAAGGGATTTGTTGTCGAAAAGTAATAGGGTAGGTGATTATATCAAAGGTAGTGGAGAGGGAGTCGACATTGTAAATCCTTTGAGTAATGGCTGTAACATCTATGCTAATGAAAGAGTTATGGAGGGAGAGTCAGATGCTCTCTTGAAGGTTCATGTTTTGTAGAACCTTTGCTTCCGCGATTGTGTGAACGTACATTCAAATTTACTACTTTACATACTTAGCGCAATTATAGTATATTGATTATATTCCCCCACAACTTAAATTGACACCAGAGCGAGTTTTCGTAATCTATACGAAGATTCTAAGGATCTGTGAATCGGGCAACCATGAATCATGATAGTGGATCCATGTCAATGTCTCCGCAATTGGATGGATCGAACTACTCATACTAGAAATCTATGATGACTATCTTCCTGAGATCACTTAGAAAAGGTGCTTGGGAGAGTGTTGAAAATGAATGGATGCATCCAGTCACAAGAGAAGCACCAGATCAAGGAAAAAAAGATTCATCCGCTGTGGTTCCTTAACCAAGAGATCTATGGACTGATGCTGAAAAACTACCGGAAGAAGCGAACTTCGAGCCCTGTACGCAATTCTGATGGTTGTCGATCAGACACGACATAAGATGATAGTTCAGTGAAAAACAGCAAAGGATGCATGGCTTGTCGTAAAAAGTCAGTTCAAAGGATCGACGGCAGTAAAGGCGTCCCGACTTCAATGAGTAACCATAGCATTTGATGAGATCAAGATGAAAGAAGATGAAACAATTGACATGTACTATGCCAGATTTTGTGAGTAAGATGCTTGGAGAGGAGATCTCTGAAAATTGTCAAGTTCAGAAGATCATGGGAACAATAGCGCCTAGGTTCAGGGAAATGATCACAGCTCTTAAGAGCTTTCAAAGGATCAACCCAGTTTCATTTGAGGGTGACAATGAATTAAAGGAAGCACTGGCGTTGATTGCCAGGAATTATGGCAAAATGAGTCAAAAGCTGTACAAAAGTAAATTTGTTGGGAAGAAGTTCAATACCAACAGCAAGAACAAATTTCTAGAAAACCGAAGCAACACGTCTTCCTCAAGACAGACCCTCAAAAGATAGAGAAGGATCAATGTCGAGAGTGTCGAGGGTTCGGCCATTTTCAATATGAGTGTGCAAATCTCAAAAAGAAAAATAACACATTTCAGGAAAACTGGGAAAACTCGGATGAAGTGGAAGCCGAAGAACCATCATCACACACTAGCAACATGGCAATTCATTCCTTTGTAAGCAAGTTCATGTGTTTATCCACGTCTCATGCTCCTACGAAGTTCGAAGAAAGTATGAATGATAATGATGAGTCGGATGATGAAGCAGATCAAGTCATGTGTATGAATCTGGTACACCTGCTGGCCATGGAGAAATGTACACAATCATCTGAAGCTATGAAAAACCTTCGTAGTGAGATTAAAAGGCTTAGAAGTCAGACTCGGGCTGATGAGTCGTCAGAAGAAGTACGAAGACTAAAGAGTGAAGTTCAGAAGTTGATGAAGATATATAAGGTACTGAGTGAACAAGTAACCTCCTCCTTCACTCATCAGAAAGAGAGTGACTTGAACACTGCAAAAGCTCGTAATGCCATTCTTGAAAGTGGTATAGAATTTCCAAACAGGATGGAAAGGAAAAGACTCAAACTATTGTATGCTTGAGATCTGAGTTATTTCTCTAGTCGGAAAATGATTGTTGATAAAGACAATGAAGTCTGGAATCTCAAGAAGGAAGTCTCATGGATAATGAAGGATCATGCTTTTCTGGAAAAGAAACTGACTCTTTCCGAAGAAAACGTGAAGACTAAATCGGCAGAGCTTGAAAGAACTACTGAAGCCCTAAGGAAATTGAACAAAGGAAGAGCAGATCTTAATGAACTTCTCACCATGGGTAAACAATATGGTGACCTTACCGGGCTGGGATGTACGAGAAAAGCTGAAAGGCTGGAAGGTTCATCAGACGTGGCAACTAAAAGTGAACATCCTGGACTGTGTTTCTCCAACAAACTTGGTATTGAAGGCACAAGTGCACGTGGTAAACCATCTCGTGAACTATACTCCAGGTTTGTTAAGAGCACTGTAAGTATGATCTCTCCCACTAAAAGTAAATTGAAGGTTCATTCTCCTAAAGCTGAAAGTGAGTCATCACACATCTTTCCATATGTCACTATTGTGGTATAACTGGTCACAACAGACCCAAGTGTTACAAAATGCAACACGATCTCTGCACAGGGAAAGTGTTAAATTGGAACCATCTCGGTGTTCCAGAGAAGGTTCACAAAACCAGTTTTCAAAAGAAAAATGTGAAACATCATTAAGGATGGGTTGTAAAAAATTCTCATAAATGTTTCGCATCTGTTTTGTCCTTGAAAACTTCACTTGAAGGTAAATGGTACATAAAAAAATATATGTTTATATTTTGTAAAATATTTATAGACTATTTAATTTTAATTTTTTAAATATATTTTAAATTGATTACATAAATAAATAATACTGAAGTCCATTAAATATTTTTCAATACATAAAATAAAAAGAAAAAGATACAATACAACTTCTATAGATTTTATAAATAATAATGACATTATATGACAACAAAATTTATAGTAAAATAATAATTAAGTATTATATGGTGAACATGACTAAGTAAAACTGTTATTTTCTCTTGTATCAAGGAATAAATATATATATGTACTAAAATCAAATTTATATTAGTATAAATGTGTTAGTGAGATAATATATTAATTATTTTACAAGTTAGCCCTACATGCTCATATTTAATATTTTGACTAAAAAATCAACACTGATTAAAAGAGGTGAAAAATATATTATAACCCTATTGTTTTTAAACTTAACGTTGATTAAAAGAAGTGGGGAAATAGATGATAAGCTTTTTAAACTTAAACGACAGAGCTTGTGAATATAACTCATTTAATATCTTTGTCCCGTGCATCGCATGGGGTACGTACTAGTGGTAAGTTAAAGGGATACCTATTATATAGTAGGTACTTGATCCCTAAAATATCCTAAAAAAAGTAGGTGAAGGAAAATGAATAAAAAGAGAAGAAGGGCAGAATGGAGAGGAGGGGCATTGGTGGAGATGAGGATGAGAGAGAATGAGGGTAAAATAGTTGGTACATAGAATTATTAGGATTGACAAAGGCCGTTACAAGTCTAATACTCCCTCTGTTTCTTTTTAAATGTTGTTTTAATCTAAAATGCAATCAATGCTATCAAATATCATATTTTTGTTTATTTTGTTTGACATTTCAACTTGAAAGTATGCATTTATATTCCAAAACTACAGCACATAGTGATTAGATCCACCTAATTGCTCTTGAAATCATGTTTAGTTACTAGGAAGCATAAATTATTACGTGAGTCAGTCTAACCGTTAGGCGGGTCGACCTACAATTTAGGAAAGCACATAAAATTGGGAATAACAAAAAAAAAATATTATATTTAAAAATCATAAAAAAGTCTCCAAAATTCCACTATATAAGAGAGCATATGCATGCCTACAAAGTAAAACTACAAACTTTTCCTCGCCGTCCACAAACAATGTTTGCGCCAAACAAAATATTCTTCTTCTTCTTATTATTATTATTATTAGGTATCCACATTTCGGCAAGTGCTGTTGGTGGGCCACGGAGACGCCCAACACTTGATTCAAAAACATTAGTCACAAAACTAATATACTTCCATTCCGCAGCCTCTCAACACTACGACCCCACTAAGACCATCAAGGAAATCTCGGAGTACGACTTGAACACCTCGATATCCCGCGGGCTCTACCTGATGAATGTGAGCCTGGATATCGAGTCCCAGATTTATCGGGGGGAGCTGAATGGGTTCGAGGTTCCCCTGTGGATCGGGTCGAGGGAGCTCCAGCAGTTTGTGTACATGGACACTGCAAGCAGCCTGTTGTGGGTGAACTGCGAGCCGTGTGGGATCCGTGTGCCGGGGCCCGTGTACGACCCCACGTACTCCATCTTCTACAAGGTGGAGAGCTGCCAAGGCAGAGATGATGTGTGTGACTTATCGGGCGCCATCTCGATTGATTGTGGAGGCAAGGATGTAAATCTCAGGGGCTGCAATTACGTGGTAAATATATNGCTGGGCCATGTCCCCATCTCCTTCATCTCACAGTACAAAGCTTCCAAGTTCTCCTACTGCATCGGGGACTTGAGTGATGGCACATACGCATACAACATGCTGGCCATCGGGGACAAGGTCCAGTTGTGGGGCGCAAAAACCTTGTTGTCAGTGGAGGACAAGTACTACATCAACCTGGTGCACATCGCCATCGGGAAGACCTGGCTCAAGTTTGACAAACATACATTGCGCAGGAATCCCTCGACCTACACGGGTGGTATGGTGGTTGATTCCGGTTCAACACTCAGCTTCATCCCCCAGAAGCTCCTCACCCAATTCGAGATCACCACTAAGCGCGTTATCGAGGATGAGCTGCGCCTCCCCCTCCCCCCTGTCTACACCGTCATCCACCAGCGCTACCCCAGGCTTTGCTATCGCGGGGTTGTGGCCAAAGACCTCAATCGCTTCCCAATCGTCACCTTTCATTTCCAGGACCTCGCCTACATGCAGCTCACCCCGGATAATGTTTTCCAGCAGGTCGAAGACCAAATCTTCTGCCTCGCCATCCTGCCCTCCGAGATCCTCCAAACCACCGTCAGCATTCTCGGCAATATTATGCAGCAAAATTTCAACATTTCTTATGACCTTCAACTCAAGAAACTCGCATTCAAGAGGATGTCTTGTAAAATTGTCGAGGATTATTATGGTCATGATGAGTTGTGAATGATGCCGTTTCTTCACTAGTAACACTCATATCATGTTATAATACAATAAGAGTGATCTGTTTGGTAGCAAAGTAATATGTAAAAGTGTGGCCCAATAAACATGTTTGGTTTCATTTTCAACCTTCAAATTTTGGATTGTGTTCAATATTTCAGTCCATCGAAGAAAAACACTCTCAAAAACCCCTTTTTCCCCAACAACATACCCCTCTCGACAATCATCCGGTGGAGTCGACGTATCTTCAGGCGACACCTTCTTTCCGGCCAAAATCCTCCAAAGGTAAGCTCCAACTTTTATACATATGGCTATTTGTTGCGATTTTGCGCTCTTGCCATCTACATAGGGTTTGCAAAAAAATATAAAATAAAATATCTTTATCTATTTCTTGAGAATTATAATAAACTCTGCTAAAAACTCCCTTGTCGATCTTGTTGGGAAAAATACGCTGAAATTTCCATGAAGTCGGATCTATAAAAATGAAATAAAAAATAAAAATTGGACACACCAAATTGATAACGGAGTTCGGCCAATAATGTCTACGTCTCCGGACTACTGCAGATATTTTATTAGGAAGAAAAAATACACTCGTGTTTACAAAACACTCTAAAACTCATTCACAACTCACAACTCAAATACACACAGAAGCTAAATATTGTGCTTCTTTTCACTCATTTTTTTTTTCTTTCTGTGTTTCTGTATTTGTTGTGTTGGTTGTTCATGAGGTTTGCTCCTCTATTTATAGTGTGGGAACAACACAATTTTTCAACACTTGTGTGCTCCATTTTTCAATAGAATTTAGCAGCCCACGGTTGCAAATTATTCAACAAATGTCTGTTGCCCTTTTTTCTTCCTTTTGTTGCTGTTCAAAAGGCTGTTGTCAAATAAATGGCCCCGCAGCCATTTTTGACTCAACAATCTCCCACTTGAGGACTGATTTCAATATGTCCTCACACCTCAATTATTGCAGTAGTCTTCTCCGGTCTGTTATCCTAGCAGGCCAACTGAAGTTGAGCACAACTTCAGTTTGTCAATGGTCACCACCTTCGTTAGCATATCTGCCGGGTTCTTGCTTCCTACAATCTTCTTCAAAGTCACACTTCATCCTCAAGAAGAGATCTGATGAAATGATACCGTATGTCAATATTCTTAGTTCTGGAGTGAAACACTCAGTTCTTTGCCAGATGTATTGCACTCTAACTGTCACTGTGCAAGACACTCTCCTTTTGAGTGAAACCCAACTCTGCTAACAATCCTTGACCCCATATCAATTCTTTACTGGCTTCTGTCACTGCTACATACTCAGCCTCTGTAGTGGATAGAGCAACAATCTTTTGTATCCGCGACATCCAACTAACAGCTGTAGCCCCGACAGTGAAAACGTAACCGGTGGTGCTTCTTCTGTTATCAACTTCACCTCCAAAGTCTGCATCTACGTAGCCCTGTAACTTTAGATCTCCTTTTCTAAAATACAGACATTTTTCTGTTGTGCCCCGTATATATCTCAAAATCCATTTGACTACTTCCCAATGAGCTTTTCCTGGATTTGACATAAACCTGCTAACAACTCCCACTACATGGCCAATGTCTGGCCTCGTACAGACCATCGGGTACATCAAACTTTCAATGGCTGAAGCATAAGGAATCTTAGCCATGAACTCTTCTTCTTCCTATGTTTGAGGAGACCGATCCTTGGATAGACGAAAATGACTGGCCAAAGGTGTACTGACTGGCATAGCCTTGTCCATGTTAAATCTCTGCAAAACACGGTTGATGTACTTCGCCTGAGATAACTGCAAAAATCCCTTTTTCTTATCTCTCATGATTTGCATTCCAAGAATCTTCTTTGCTGGGCCTAAGTCCTTCATGTCAAATTTTTTTGGTAACTGCATCTTTAATCTTCTGATGTCCTTTATATCTGATCTCGCTACTAACATGTCATCAACATAAAGTAGCAAGATGATATAGTTGAACTCATACTTCTTAAAGAAGCAACAGTGATCAGCATTGCACTTTTGGAATCCTTCCTTGTGCATGAAGCTTTCAAACTTCTTATACCACTATCTTGGAGCTTGTTTCAGGCCGTACAAACTCTCTTCAATTTGCACACCATATCTTTCTTTCCATCTGAAAAACGTTTAGGTTGGTACATATAGATCTCCTCATCTAGGTCTCCGTGAAGAAATGCAGTCTACACGTCTAATTGCTCTAGGTAGAGCTCTTCGCTAGCCACAATACTTAACACAATTCTGATAGTATTGAGCTTTACAACTGGAGCAAACATTTCAGTGTAGTCAACTCCTTCTTTCTGTTGAAATCCTTTGACAACCAGTCGGGCTTTGTATCTCCTAGAACCATCATGGTCTTCCTTCACCCGATACACCCATTTGTTGTGAAGTGCTTTCTTTCCCATAGGTAACTTGACTAGTTCCCATGTCTGATTTGAGATCAAGGACTTCATCTCGTCCTTCATGGCAACTCCCACTTGCTAGCATCTGTGGTTTGATAAGCTTCCATGTAATTTTTAGGTTCCCCTCCATCAGTCAGCAGCATGTATCCATGTATCTCCTGTTAGGCACATGGGGCCGAGAGGACCTTCTCAATACAGGAGCTGGAGTAGGAGGTTCTGATTGCACATCACTTTCTTCATTTGATTCCTTTGACTGAGGACTCCTCATTATAGGACTGTCTGGGATATCTTCCAGCTCAGCATAAACTGGCTCACTCGCTTCTGAGTTGTTGGCACCTGTATTATGTCGGTCCTTGTACATCACTCTTTCATTAAAGATGACATCTCTACTGCGGATCATCTTTTTGTTTTCATCATCCCATATGCGGTAGCCAAACACATCTTCACCATAACCAAGGAAAGTACATTTCTTTGATTTTGGATCAAGTTTGTTTCTACCTTGATCACTGATGTGCACATATGCTACACACCCGAAAACTCTAAGATATGAGAGTTTTACTTCTTTTCCGCTCCATACCTCTTCTGGTAACTTGTGATCCAGTGGTACCGATGGACTTCGGTTGATCAAGTAAGTTGCTGTGTTGACTGCTTCTGCCTAGAACTGCTTTGGTAGGCCTAACTGCACACGCAAGCTTCTGGCTCTTTCAGTCAACGTTCGATTCATACGCTCAGCTACACCATTGTGTTGTGGCGTACCAGCCACGGTTCTCTCCATTCTGATCCCGTGCTCATAGCAAAACTTCTTGAATCTGGTGATTACATATTCACCACCATTGTCGGATCTGAGCTTCTTGATCTTCAAGCTTGTCTCATTTTCCACCATAGCTTTCCAAATCTTGAAAGCTTCAAATACTTCTGACTTGTGTTTCAGAAAGTAAACCCATACTTTTCTGGAGTGATCATCGATAAAAGTCACGAAGTATTGCTTCCCACCAATGGATGGGACAGTCGTTGGACCCCAGACATCAGAGTGGATGAGCTTGTTAGATATGCTGTAAAAGCTTGGCTTTCAGATATTAATAATACCATTTTGATCTGGCAATCATGTTTTAGTCAAAGTATTTATGCTTGCAGTTTATTTATTTATGCAATCATACTCCTTGTCTTACATTGAGATGGTGTGGTTCGTGGTGTCGAACAGAAAGGTCACCTATCAGTTCCTTGTAAGACTAAATCATTTGTTCACAGTCTAGATTGGCAGTGAGACCCCACTTGGAAAAAGACTGTAGTGTATTCTTGATTCAGTTGACCTTGACTGGAGAATTACATTAGTACTTATGGTAAGTATTGAACAGGACCACCGGAAGGATAAGATTATGAGATTCACTGATCGTTGTTGTAATCTATACCTTCAGCGATTGATGCGTTCTCTAAAGCTATAAGATAATATAAATAGTCGTGTATATTCATTACTTGTTTATTTGATTTACCAAGGGTGATTCCTATTTTATTAGGATGACATACTCGGTACTTTGGTAAATAAGAGTGATTATATGACGAGCTATTATAAATTATTTATGGTACCGTGTTCCAGTGCGCTGGATTGATGACGTCCCCGAAATGAGCTCAGGAAGGAATATTGTGTTAAACCCTGCAGGTGGATATTTATCCGACACAATGATTAAGGTTCTGAGTGGTACTAATTTCGGAAATGAATAAGAAGTCGATTAATTATCTTGTCAGTAATTTAATTAATCCACGGACGTTATATCTTAAACATGGAGAGGTAAATCGGTCAATCAGATTAATATTTATTAATCAAGTGGAGGTTTAATTTAATTGATTAAATTGGAGCTAAATGGGGAGAGCAATAATAATATTCTAGTGGGATATATTATTATTTAATTTTATTAGGAATTTAGGAATTAATTTTATTCCATATTTATTATTCCAAAACTTAGGGAATATTCCTTCTAGAATCTCACCTAGGGTTAGGAGACTAGAGAGTCTTCTAGAAGGTGATGTTAGGAGAAAGGAATCATGACCTAATATGGATTAGCTTATGGAGTAGAATTAGGATTCCTTGATCTAATGGGATAAGCCCATATTTGGCACCTCCTTAAGGTCCCTAATGGAGCCTATAAATACACCATGTCCCCACCTCTTGAGACACACATGTGAGACTCGTTTTTTCCATCTTTCAAAGAGAGAAAAATTGTGTTGTTCGAGAGTTAGGGAGATTCAATTAATCGCACCACCAAGATTAACTGAAATAGGTGTTTAGGTAATTCATTAGAAGGCTTTAAGGTGAGATTTCTTTAAACCTCAAACCTTCATATTTTCCGGTCATCTTCCCCAGCCAGTTGCCGCCGTCGACCACCGCCGGAAAACCACTCCTCGTTCGACTAGGACTTGCCTGTTTACATGAATTATGTGTGTACGGACGCAGCGGCATAGTAGATTAGAAATTGCAACTGTTTGCAGGGGATTTCAGATCCGACTATTATGGCCCGTATGTATGATTTAATTCATGTATGGATGTATGGTGTTTTTATAAGCCTCAGACATGTCGAGGAGTTTTTTGGGTTGGTGA